AGGCGGCGCACTCCTCAATCTCATCAACAGCAAAGCAGTCTCACGCCAGCACAACGTTCAATTGGAGAAGCGATCAGCAGCAGGTGCAGGTGCAGATGCAGATGCATGGTCTGCACCACCCCTCGTGGACTGGCCGCTATCTAATGACCATACATACTCGGCAGTGCTGCCAGGCCGTGCCGTTTGGGAAAATATAGCAGCCAAACCAGTGCAAGCAGAAACTCGGAGCTTCCGAGGAGGGACAAAATGGGAGTATGGTGAGTGGTGTGGTGCTTGCAAGCAAACGAACATTGCTGGCCTAATGTCAAAGATGTCTCACATTCGGTTTAAATAGGAACCCTCTCACAATCGAGGCGGGGGCACGGCCAACTTTCTGAAAAGCGCCAGTGCAGTCCCATCTGCGCCTCTGCGGCCTACAGCTCACGGTCATGGATCTCCCCGCGGCCCGAACGCACAGGCCACCTGACGCCTATCGGCCACAACCGTTGCGCCGGTCCGGCGACAACGCGCTCAATGCCGCCAACTCTGTGCGGTGCCTGGTTCAAGACTCCAAGCTCTCCTCCTATCACACACTACGCTCGGCACTCGGCCGTGTCGGTCCCCGCCGTTTGCCCCTCGGCCTTCCAGGTGGCATTTCGTCGCTAGTATAAAAGACCATTGAATGTGGCTCTGCTGGATAGCATTTCTGGAGCTTGCACTACATACCCGTGGCAACGTCCTTAGGCACCTGGTCATCGTCAGGATAGAATTCACGCGGCAATACGCACCTCTGTTCTCAAAATGAGTGGCCAAGCTGCACCAGCCCCGACCTATGCGCACCTCAAGGAGATCGTCGATAACCTGCGCGCCGAGCTCATGGCGCAGCGCGACCCGAACGCCTTTGAGCACAAGGAACTCGTCATCCCGTCAAGCGTCGACAAGGACAGGGAAATTGCCGTGCACATCTACGAGCCAGAGAATGTCAAGGAGGGCGAAAAGGGTCCTGTGGTCATCACCTTGTGAGTGTCAGGTAGCGCCCATTCTTCCTTACGGGTGTAATCAACCTTGTATTTCATTCTCCCCCAGGCACGGTTCCGGATTCATCATTCCTTCTCTCGGAGAGAATGCTGCGTGGTGCTCGCGCACCGCTCGGCGCCTTGGCATTCGCGTAGTGGATAGTGACTATGCCAAAGCGCCCGAGCACCCCTTCCCGGCG